TGGGTTCAATCCCAGCACCACAACGGAAAAAAAAATCACTTTAAAATCTGGAATGTTGTTTTCTCAGGGGCTTCTGCATGGCATGTGACTACCACCTCAGTGCTAACCTCATTAGTGGCCCCAGTCTTGGGGTGACACGGATGCCAGCTTCTTTGGCCACAGCCAGAACCACCGTGTGGAATTAGGGCAGGAGCAGAGGGTGGGTTTGAGCTCTTTCCACAAACACCATTTTGGACATAGGTAGTAGTCAGAGCAGAGACAGCAAGGGGATAAGGTAGAAGTCTCATCGCTGCAAAGAAAGCATGAACACTTTAAGACAAAAGATTTGGGCCAGACTTCAGATCTCTCATCCCAGCAAACTGTGAGAAGGCTCACTCTTTTTTCTTTCCTTTCTTTTCCCCCTGATTTCTGTTTCCTACTGTGATACTCCAATAATTAAGCATTTAGCTAAAAAGTTAAGGGCCTTTAAAAAAATGTTTTAAACAAGATTTTTTTTTTTTTAAACAGGACTTCTTATCCCTTTCATGCCACTCCAACTCTGTAGCAGTACACCCTGGAGGCAGTGATATGGCTTTTTAGGCTTTCTCTGTTGCAAGGAATCTGAATGTGTTCTGTGAGAAGCACGCTTGCAAAGACATCATAAAAGTTGGAGGGAAAAAAGTTGTGCCCTTCTACTCCACTGTGGCAGGTTTCCCTACAGCCACATCTGGATTCCTCTCCATAGCATTTGATGCAGCTGACCTTTTCCATGACACCTGAGTCCCCTTCCCCACAGCTGCTGTGTTGCTTCACTTCTTCCCTTTCCCCCTTTTTAAATTCTTTCCCCAGGATAATTCATGCTTCCTCAGATCCATTGCCCATTTTATTTATTTTGCGGTGCTAGGAATTGAACCCAGGATCTCATAAATGCTAGGCAAACACTCTACCACTAAGCTGCATCCCCAGCTCCCCATTTAAAAAATTCCAATGACTCCCAAATATATTTCTCCATTCCAAATCTGTCTTTAAGATCTGAATTCATAGTTAACAGACCTTAAAAACTTTTCCACTTGGATTCTCACAGATACCCCAAACTTGATGGCTCCAAAGAGAACTCTTGATTTTTACCCCCTTCCTCAACCCTGGTCTGCTAACTGAGACCCAAGCTTCTGCCAACCAAGAGCAGTGACAGACTCAAGAGCAGTGGAGAAAGTGGCAGACTTTCTCCAGAAGGACATAAACTGAGGACACACTAATGTGAAGGCTATGAATCAGGGAACAAACTTTAGGGTAGCTGTTTTCTTGTCACATCTAAAAAAAAGATGGAGTGCACATAGAGGAGCAGAGTTGTCTACCACAGAGATCTGCTTCCATCCTCAATAGTATAAGGTGGATTCACTTATAGCTCTTCAATAAGTTAATGCTATTGAGTGGATGTCTTTATTTGTACCAAACAAAAATTAAGACACTTTGTACTTAGCATAATTTGGACTACTTCCCCATTGTTTTTTTCTGTTCTTACTTTGGTGCTGCATTGAATCCATAGCTAATTCAGAAATTTCATCTTCAAGATAATGAGTTTGCCTATGAATAGGTGAGATAGACTTCACTATTTATTCATTTTTTTTTTCTAATGTCCCTTTGAAGAATTTTATTGTTTAAAAATGGAGGTCACTTACCTATAAAGAAGGAAATTGACAAGGATTAAAGAAAACTACTAATTTGGAACCCCAAAGAAACAAATCTAATTATTACAGGTGAATAATAGCAACTGCAGAAGGAAAAAAGCCAAAACCAAGACTCAAATATCTATGTACATAATATTTTGACATATATTCTCAAACCAATTGGAGAGACTTGTAGACAAGTACTGAACAATCAATAGGTTTGTACAGTGGTTTTGGAATAGAAATTCTGAAACTTTTACTATTTATAGAATTGAGCAAAATACTGAGTAAATATATTGAAGATAATAGCAACAATATTTCTGTAAACAAAAATGGGGAGCTGTTTATATATGTGGAAAGAAGGAAGGGTACAATCAACTGTGGTGCTGGACTGGAATTTGTGGTTTTTAATATACTAATAGGTATAAGAATTGACACAAGATTGTGTGTATACAAAATACACCCACATCTATTTCCTAGCTCCTCTGCTGAGGCCTAGAAACTATGTTACCCTGGTCACAAGGCACATACTTAGCACTCAGATCTTGTTTTCTAATATATATTGTACAGGGAAGTGGAGAGTGGCTCAGGTGGTAGAGTGCCTGCCTAGCAAGTGTAAGGTCCTGAGTTCAAACATCGTTTCCACAAAAACAAAACAACAACAACAAAAATTGTCCAAAAAAGAGATCAAGAGTTCTTGGGAGGGAAGACTTCTTCCATAGCCAGGGCAAGGGACATACAGCATAAACCTAGAACAGTGTGCCAGGAAGCAAAGAAAGTGTAAAAAGACTGTGAGACATTAAACAGACCTTGGGAACAATATGAACAGCCCTCACTGGTCAAACCTGGGACCATCTGAGCATCACAGTAAATAATAAGAGTAACAAACTGGAATCCACTGAAGAAATAGGAATAAATGAGCCCATACTACAAAAATGACTAAATAAATGGAGAAGCTAACATCCTTCATTTGGTAAAGGAATTAGAAGAATCATCTATAGATTTTAACAGGGGTAAAAATTGGTGAGAACGAGGTTGTCTACATAGATTCAAAGTATCTTCTCCAGAAAATATTTAACTAAAAAGAAGGGAATTAGTAACTTTACAGTGGAGAAACCTGGCAGTCACCATCTTAAGCAAATGATAAAGTAGTATCACCTGAAAAAGATAAAAAAAAAAAAAACCCAAAAACCAACAAACCACCCTCAGACCTTGTGACATGAAACACTGAGGACCCATCTCTTCTAAGATTTCTGTCAAAGTCATCAGGAAACAAACCCAAAGTTACATTCTACAAAGTAATGACCTATGATCTCCAGAAAGGCCAACATCATGAAAGAAAAAGATCAGATCAATCTAGACAGAAGGGCATGACAACGACATAGGTATGATCAAGGACTGGATCCTAGACCAGAGAAAAACATTCCTTGTCATAGGAAATTACTGGGACAAGTGTCAAAATGTTAATAAATTTTACAAATTATAATGTTATCCGCATTCATTTTCTGACTTTGATAATAGCACTGTGGTCATGGAAGAGAAGGTCTGTTGTATCTAGAGGTAAAGGTATATAATGCTACAGCTCAGACTTGGAAAACTCTATAGAGAGGGAACAGAGAAGAAAATGATGAAGCAAATGTTAACTGGGGATTTTGAGTGAAGGGATACAGGTATTCTTTGTGGTGCTACCCCTTTTGTGTGACTTTATTTCAAAATTTAAAAAATAACAAAAATTCAGGTTGTAGTGGACAACTGTCCTTTGTGACTACTCAGTACGCCATGGAACCGATCCCTACCATAGGAACTTTCTGCTGCCTTTCCAGTATAGAACCTATGACCCACACTTCCCTCCCTGATGTTCATGGAGTGTGAGTGGCCCTTGTGCTGATGCAGCTGCATCAATGTAGAGCTAAACAGGGAAGTTTGACATCTACCTGCTGGCCTAGGTCTGGCCACAGCAGTGGGATGTCTGAGTACACAGTTATGTGGGCTGGTTTTGGAATCTTTTCTGGAAGCTTGGCCCCAGCCTATTTCTTTAGCCCTTTTCATGGTTCTGAGATTCTAATATTCTGTGAATAAAAATAGTGAAGACAGGCTGGTAAGGACCAGAAAGTACGTCATATACACCAGGTCATTTAGTCTTCATAAAACTTTGCAGCAAGAACTCAGGTCCACACTAGGTCCCACAGTCCTCCTGAGGACCTGCTGTCCTGGGAGAGGAGCAAGGAGGGAGGAATCCTCTGTGGCATGGTAACTGCTCAGAAAAAACCCACTGTACACAGGTAAGTACTCCTGTTAGGTCCTTAGTCACAAAAAACACCTCAACTCCTGCAATAACTCTGAGCTCCTGGGCAAAGTCAGGCCCTAGAGCCACCTATGATCACAGGGTGGCATCCTATGGCAGGGCTGCAAACTCTTACTGTAAAGGACTAGAAAGTAAGTATTCTGGCTTTGTGGGCCATGATGTGGAGTCTACTGAGACTTACTGGCTAGTATCCAGGAGCCTCTCTGGGGAGACATGTTGTGCCTGGGCTTTCTCCCTGTTTAGGGAAACTGAGGATGGGGTTTGTTGAGCTGGGCCCCAGAACAGGGTACTTAGTAGGTGCTCCAAAAATGTCTGGTGATGAATGAATCAAAGAATGTCTGGTGATGAAAAAACCTGTGGGGAAGAGATGAAAATAGAGAGAGTTGCCTCTGTGGTGCTACACCATGAGGCACAGAAGCTGGAGAATGGGGTCTGGGGCACAGCACAACAGTGAGAAGGAAAAAGATGACCTGACTGCTGATATGTATAAAGGAAAGTGTACAAGTTATAGTGGTGCAATTTACAGGACAGGAGGGACAAGGAAGGGCGAGGAACTGGGTACCACCTTTGGGGAAGATGGCTTGATTGTATGTAAACAAACTATTAATGAAAGCCAATGAATGAAAACTCACTACGCCAAGCAAAAGAATAACTCTGGTTATCTCCAGCCAAAGGTCACTTTACTTGTTTGGTAACTTTTCTTTTGGTGGAACTGGGGTTTGAACCCAGGGCTTCATGCTTACAAAGCATGAATTAGAGACATACCTCTAATTCATTTTGCTCTGCTTATTTTGGAGTTGGGTCTTGTGAACTATTTGCTTGGGCTGGCCCCTAACTGCAATCCTCCTAAGCCCAGCCTGCCAAGCAGCTAGGATAACAGGTGTGAGCCACTGGTGCCTGGCTGGTAACTTTTAATAATAAACTCCATGAATGTGCAGCCTTCATAATTTTTTCTTTCTAACAAAGGTGAGCCTGCTCACAAACTACAAAAACAAAGCAATAAAATACAAATGAGAGGAAATATGAGGCACAGCAACAGCAGGGGGAGAGGCTTGAAAGGTGTTTCAAAGGAGGGCTCCAGGCTTTGTGGCAGCTGGACATAGGGTTAAGGTTGGAAAGGGGAGAGGTTGAGACAAAGGGTCAGAGGAGTGGAAGAGGAACCATGGCTTAACTTCATTCCTCCCAGTCCAGAGGCTACTCCCTGGTGTGTATCAACTGGTGTTTAACCAACTTTGACCTTTGGCTAAAGGCTTTCCCACAAGTAGAGCAACCATAGGGCTTCACTCCAGTGTGAATCCTCTGGTGCTGGATTAGGACAGAACGTTGACTGAAGGCCTTCCCACACTGTATGCACTGATAGGGCCTCTCACCAGTGTGGATTATCTGATGTTGAATGAGGTGTGAGCTCTGGCTGAAGCCCTTACCACATTCAACACATGTGTAGGGCTTCTCCCCAGTATGAACTTTCTGGTGGTGAATGAGATTTGAGCTTCGATTGAAAGCTTTACCACACTGGTGACATTCATGGGGTTTCAACCCGTTATGAATCCTCTGGTGCTGAATGAGGGTTGAGCTCTGGCTAAAGGTTTTTCCACATTCAGTACATTCATAGGGTTTCTCTCCAGTGTGGACTCGCTGGTGAAGGATGAGGTTGGAACTGCGACCAAAAGTTTTCCCACATTCACGACACTCATAGGGCTTGTCACCTGTGTGCACACCCTGATGCTGGATGAGGGCTGAGCTGTGGCTGAAGGCCTTCCCACAGACACTGCACCCATATGGTTTTTCTCCTGTGTGAATTATCTGGTGCTTCCTGAGCACAGAGCTGTAACTAAAGGCTTTCCCACACACATTGCATACGTGAGGCTTCTCTCCAGTGTGAATTCTCCGATGCTGAATAAGGCTGGAACTCTGGCTAAATGCTTTCCCACAGTCACTGCATTTGTAAGGTTTCTCTCCAGTGTGAACTCTGTGATGTTTAATGAGGTTGGAGATGCGACTGAAGGGTTTGCCACAATCATTACACTCATAAGGTTTCTCTCCAGTATGGACCCTCTGATGCTTCCTGAGGTGTGCACTTTGGCTGAAGGCCTTCCCACACTCTCTACACTCGAAAGGCTTCTCACCTGTGTGAATCCTGTGGTGTTTAATAAGGTTTGAGCTCCGCCTAAAAGCCTTTCCACATTTGTCACACACATACGGTTTCTCCCCTGAATGGATTCTTTGATGTTGGATGAGGTTTGAGGTCCGCCTAAAAGCCTTCCCACATTCACTACATTCATAGGGCTTCTCACTCATGTGAGACTTTTGGTGCTTTTTAAGGCTTGAGTTCTGGCTGAAGGCTTTCCCACATTCATTGCATGTGTAAGGCTTCTCACCGCTGTGGTAAGCCTGATGCCCAGCAAAGTCTGTGTACCTATGAAAGGCTTTTCCACACTCGCTACACTGGTACGCTTTCACACTCATGTGAGATTGCCGGTGGTTTTTAAGAACTGAGTTCTGGCTGAAGGATTTTCCACACTCATTACACATAAAGGACTTTTCCCCAGTATTAGGTATCTGATGTTGAACAAAGTCAAGGTTTCCTCTGAAGGTTTTCCCACACCTGGTACAAATGAGTGGGCTTTCAGTTATGGGAATCCTTTTGTGATCTGTTAGGTCCACACTGTGCTGGAAGCTCTGGCCACACTTGTATGGATGTGGCCTCTCTTCGGTAAGGACTCCTTGATACACCATTAAACTTGGGCTTAGATTGAAGCTTCTGTCAAAACCATTATAGTCTAGACCTTTTTCTCCTAAGTGGCCTTTAAGGAACATGGTCACTGGTGTGAAGTCCCTTTCCTGGTGGAGGGACTGTACCAGGCTCTCACCTTCAGAGACACCCCAATCTCTTTCTAGTAGGTCATCACAGAGCACTCCAAGCTTGGGCACCTGGGAAACATCACCAGCAAAGTTTTCTGATACTTCTGCTTGTGATTCCAGATCCTCAACAACGTCTTCCTTTGGATGAAACTCCTTGTTCTCATTCCTCGCATCACGATCTGAAACAATAAATACTAAGTCACAGGAGGAACTGCTGTGATAGCAACAGGGAAGCACACAGACAAATCTGCAGAGTCTCACTTTCTGTGGAAGAAGAAAAGGGAGCAGCCAACCTACTGGGGCAGCAGTTCCAAATTTTGCAAAGAGACCAGGGAGGAGCTGGAGTGACTCTAGGTGATAAGGGTGCATGGGAGCTGAAGACCAGCAAGAATGCCAGCGCTCTCCAGGACTCCACATGTCAGGGATGCAACTGCGGTCTGCCCACGGGCTCAGGCCAAGACTCAGTGCCCCGCAGCTCCCCCTTCTGATCACACTCACAACAGGCTATCAGCAAATCCTGGAAATGTGCCCTAAATCCAGATGGTTCTCACTCTTCCTGCATGTACAAGGAAACATCACATGCATTGTTACACATTTTACCATTTCCTTCACCACACTGCAAGGTCTACCTTTTGTGTCAGGCTTGGTCTCATGATTCACCAGTGTGGAGAGGTGCACCCCTGCAACAGCTGCAGAGAAGCCCATTCCCTTCTGAGAAGCCATGCAGTTCTCAGGTTAGTGTTGGCCCACTCAGAACACTCTCTACCCAACTTCTCAGCTGGCCTTCCTCTGCTTGCTGATCCCTTTCCTGATGTCTGCACATACATGCCATACTGCCACTCTCCTTGACTATCCCTGATGTCTCCTACACTGCCCAGACTACTCCAACAAAGCCTTGAGGGACCCCTGTTGAGGTGCAGTCAGGGACTCTCCCCTCCATCCTCTCTCTTAGTGCCTCCCCTTATCTGTGACATCCAAGATCTGCTTTTAGTCTGGACACACCTATCCCCAGGAGCCACCAGTGGTGTTCCTGCAGATCCCACCTGGCCTCATGCCCAGCCCTCACAAGTCCAGCCCCTCTGCCTGCAGCATCCACCTGTATCTTGGTGATGTTTCAGGGTGTTCACTGATACCTGTGGCCCAGACATACTGTGCAGTGCTACCTCCAACCACAACGACTTTACCCAAAGCCCCCCCCACACACCCCCCTGTAGCTTGGGCTCACACCCCTCTTCCTGTGATACTGCCACAGGGAAGACTGTGCCTTTCTTTTCTTTCTTATTTCCCCATGGCAGGCCCAGACTCACCCACTCTATATGTACTACAAGAGCCCTGGCTTGATGGGTCATCTAGGATATGTGGTGTCCCCATGCTTCTGGGCTCTCAGGAGCACAGAGGAAAGGGAAAGGGTTTCAGGGACAACCAAGGTCTGGATGGAAGTCTTTGGCCCTGCCAGGGATGGTGGAACTCACTGTGCTTCCTTCTCTCACCTAGCACTGCAAAACAATCCCCCCAACCCTTAAAAAAATCCCAAACCCAGTCTTAGTTTGCAGCCCATAAAAACAATCTGGATCAGTGGGTGACCTCTGATTAAGGCAAGATCTCACCAGAGTGTGTCAGAAGATGTGGCAATGGGGAATTGGCTCTCTAGCTTGAGCTCAAGCTACTGTTTAGATGAGTCTTTTATTGAGACAAAGTAAAAGTGAATTCTGGCCAGGCATGGTGGTGCATGCCTGTACTCCTAGAACTCAGGAGGCTGAGGAGGAAGGATCTCAAGTTCGAGGCCAGCCTGGGCTACATAGCGAGATCCTGTCTCTAAAAACCAAAGTGAATTCTCTGCGTGAGAATGGTGGTTGGTGGGAGATTGCTTTTTGGACTTACTAAATTAAATATAATCCATTTCTGCAACCTAAAAACTGTAGGAAAAATGATGAAAACCCGTCTTTAAAAAGGAAATATAGGCTGGAAGTGTGGCTCAAACAATAGAGCACCTGCCTTACAAACACAAAGTCCTGAGTTCAAACCCCAGTACTGCCAAAATAAAAGGAAATATAAAATCAAAAATATGATTTTCCTTTAGGAAACTCTTTAAAATGCCATAAAGTTGGATTTAAAGTCAAAGGAAAAGATCTGAAAGCAAATAGTTTAACTGTCCTATACTCACTATATACTGAGACTCAGACTTTCTAGAACAAAACACACCTGTCAGTACCTCCCTCAAGAGGAAATATTTATATGATTAGTGGCTCCAGACCTGTGCAACATCCAGTCATGACCACACTTCTGGCACCCCCTGTGGCTATGAGGCAACAGCTATTGTGTGGCACAGCGGCAACCCCAATGCCTAGGCCAGGCCATCTACTGTATAGACCCCAAGAGGCACTTGGGTAGTTCCCATTAGTTCATCATCTCCCACAGTGATTTGCTTGCATTGTTTTTAATAATTTGCTAAAGCCAGGCACCAGTGGCTCATGCTTATAATCCTAGTTTCTTGGAAGGTTGAGATCAGGAGGATTGTGGTTTGAGGCCAGTCCAGGCAAAAAGTTTGCCAGACGCCCTCAACCAATAGCTAGGCATAGTAGTGTATGCCTGTCATTGCCATCTACACAAAAGGTGAGTCTGGGAGGACTGTAGTTCCAAGCCAGCCTGGGCAAAAATGTTCACAAGATTCCACAGATAAAACATAGGCATAGTGGTGCATGTCTAGCTATGATGGGGAGGCATAAAATAGAAGGATCGCAGGCTGGAGCAGGCAAGCCTAGGAAAAAGCAAGACCCTATCTCCAAAACAACCAAAGCAAAAAGAGCTGGAGGCATGGCTCACTGTACAGTGCCTGCCTAGCAAGCATGAAGCCCACAGTAAACATTATTGAGATGAAATTCAAATAATATAAAGTTAACCATTCCACAGGGAACAATTTAGTGGCATTTTGCACATTCACAATGTTGTGCAACCACTACCTCTATTTCTCAAATATTTCCATCACTCCAGAGTCAAACCTTTACCCATAGAGGGTACACACCACAATGCAGCAGTACTAGTAATCAAGAGGCTGAGGCAGGAGGATCCTTGAGCTCAGCAGTTTGAGGTCAGAATGGACAATATACCTATACTCATCCATCCCAAAAAAACTATACTTAGTAAGTAGTCTATTCCCATCTCTCCCTCCATCTAGTCCCTGGCAATCACCAATTTATGTCTCTATGAATTTATCTATTCAGGAAATTTCATATAAGTGGAAATATACAATATATGACCTCTGTGTCTAAGTTCTTTCACATGGAAAATGTTTTTGAGGCTCATTCATGCTACATGTATCAGCTCTTTAATGGCTGATGGTGTATGTATATATCACAATCCATCCATCTACTTGCCCACCCATGCACTGATGGACACCTGGGCCATTTGGACCTTTTGGTTATTGTGGATACTGTTGCTATGAATATGATGTACATACATAGATTCTCCTTGACTTATGGGAGGTTGTATCTGGATAAACCCATCTGTAGTGATCCAGCTTGACATGATTGTAGCTACCTTGGTAGTAATTGCCATTTTGCCCAACAGGTGAACCTGGTAGATATCCCAAACCCTATAGGACAAAGCTGCTCAGATTGTGAGCTGAGCATGTTATGTTGGCCTCGGATGGCCAGACTGTTTCTTAACCATTTTGGACATCATTTTTTTTTTCTTTTTTGAGTGGGGCTGGGGTTTGAACTCAGGGCTTCACACTTGCAAAGCAGGTGCTCTACACTTGAGCCATACCTCCAGTCTATTTTGCTCTGGTTATTTTGGAGATGGGGTGGGTCTCACAAACTATGTGCCTGGGCTGGCCTCGAACTGCAGTCTTCCTGATCTCAGCCTCCCAAGTAGCTATAATTACAGGTGTGAGTCACTGCACCTGGTTTAATAGTTTATTTGTTCTCTCTCTCTTCTGTCTCTCCTCTCTCTCTCTCTCTTTCTCTTTTGAAGTGCTAGGAAATCAAACTTAGGAGTATGCTAGGCAAGCCCGCCTCTGCTGAGCCACAGCCATACTTATTAACAGTTTTGCACAAAGATCAGGTATATTCTAGTTGGCCACAGTCCACCTCTGTCTACTTAGCATATAAACCTTTTTGACCAGCCTTAGAATGCAGGGATCCTTCTGTCTTGGGACCCGCCCAAGAAATTCTTTTGTCCCTAAGTCTGAAATAAATTGCATTGTGTTGAACTTTGTATCTGCCATGGAAGATATCTTCAGTGGCCAGTTCTCATACACTAGGGCCTTGTGTTGAACTCAGGGCCTTGTGTTTACTAGGCAGGTGCTCTACCACTTGGGTCACTCCACCAGTCCTAATCCCATATGAATTTGAGGATCAACTTTTTAGTTTCCACAAAAAAGGCCATTATAATTTTGAGAGGAGCTACACTGAATCTATAGACCATTTTGAGTAGTTTGCATGTCTTAACTATACCATCTTCCAATTCATGAGCACAGGATGTCCTCCACTTATTTGCTGTCTTTAATTACTTTCAGCCATATTTTGTGGTTTTCAGTGAACAAATCTTTCACCTTCTTGGTTGAGTTTATTCCTACTCCCCCTCCCCTACCATTGATGCCATTATAAATGGAACTGGTTTCTTAATTTCTTTTTTAGATTGTGAGTATATAGTAACACGACTGATTTTGTGTATTGATCTTAAGCCTTGCAATTTGCTGCAAGCTAGTTTTTTGGTTGATTCTTTGGAATTTTCTATATTGGTGTTGTATCTTATGCAAATAGCTGTACATCTTTCTTTCCAATTTGGATGTCTTTATTTCACTTTCTTGCCTAACTGCTCTGACTCAACCTTCTGGCACAATGTTAAATAGCAATAATGAACCAGGCACCTTGTTTGGTTCATACTCTCAGAGGCAAAGTCTTTAGTCTCACAATTGAGCGTGACATTAGCTGTGGGTCTTCATAAGTTCCTTTTATTATGTTGACCAGATTCCCATCAATTACAATTTTTCTGAGGAATTTTTATAATCATGAAAAGTAGTTGGATTTTGCCAAATGCTTTTTCTGCATAAAATGAGGTGATCATGGCTTTCCTACAATGAAGTGTAATACAACATGATGAATTACACTGATGGGTTTTATGTTGAACCACCCTTCCATTCCTGGTATTAAATTTCATGTGGTCATGGAGTATACTA